CAAAGCGTCACTATGGGTCGCAGGCGACTTGATGGCACATAACAACAATATGTGTCTATCCATACCTTTGAGGGTCTTCCTTTATTTCACTGATCTCCCATTTTCCAAGCAAGATGTCCTCTTCCAAGGATGAGCTTCTCTTAGCAACATAACCAAAGTATGAGATACAAACCTTTGTCATCTGTGCCTCCAAGGAGCAATCTGGCTGCACTTTTTCTAAAACAGTTTGTTCCTTTGGCAGTCCACGGGATATTCAGTGCTCTTTTCTAACACCACAATTCAGAGGCATCAATTCTTCTATCATCCTTATTCACTGTCCAGCTCTCAGATGTTACGGAAAAAGTTACTGAATAGACCATGGCCTGAATCAGGCACACCTTAGTTGTCCACTTTATATCAAGCATGATGTCTTTATCCATGGCCTGCCCTTTTCTAGTAATACTGCCAGAGTATATGAGACAAAATTTTATCATCTTCATTTCTAAGGAGCAATCTGGTTACTTTCTGTTACAGCAGATTTATTTGTCCTCTAATCAGACCACATTATGTTCTGTATTCCTTGCTCATTATCCAGTTCTCTCAGGTAAATGTTTACCAACTGTCATCAAATTGGTCCTAACTCATAGTGAACTTCCACTGGATTCCTGGGGCTGTAAATATAATGGGAAGATACTGTCCACCTTTCTCCCATGGAAGAGCTGTGTATGTGAAACATGGGCCTGTTCGTTAGGAGAACACCACACTCCTGAGGTGCATGAAAAACATCAATGTATAGGGCAGGTGCTCCATTGTCCTCAAAGGGACATCTCTGCTCTTTAGTGCTTTAAAGTGATCTTTTTCAGAAAATGTATTCAATGCAACACATAGTCTGATTTCTTTGCTACTGCTTCCATAAGGGTTAATCATGGATCCAAGGAAAATGAAATCATTAACAATGTCAATCTTTTCACCATTTCTGTTTACCATGATGTTGTTTATTGATCTAGTCGCAAGGATTCTTGGGGGGGGGGGTGGTCTTAGAATCTTGCAAGAAGTTAAAAATTACTGGTCTCTAATTTGGAGGCCAGCTGGCTGGTTGACTAACTATATGAGATTCATATTTTTTCCTATTCCCAAGAAATGTGATCCAACCAAATATGGAAATTATTGAACAATATCATTATTATCACATGGAAGCAAAAATATTGCTTAAGTTCACCCAAAACCAGCTCAATTAGCACACTGACAGAGAACTGCAAGAAATTCAAGCTGGGTTAGAAGAGGCTGTGGTACCAGAGATATCACTGCTTATAAGAGACAGATCCTGGCTGAAAACAGAGAATATCAGAAGGATGTCTATTTGTGTTTTATTGACTATGCAAAGGCATTTGACTGTGTGGATAACAAATAATGGCTAACATTCAGAAGAATGGGATTCCAGAACACATTAATTGTGCTCAAGCATAACCTAACTCTAGACCAAAAAGGTGTTGTCTGAACAGAACAAGAGAACAACATTGCATCGACTAAAATTCAGAAAGGCCTATTAGATGTATACACTGAGCAAATCATTTGAGAAGCTGGATTTGACGAAGAATATGGCAACAGGATTGGAGGAAGACTTATCAACAACTTGCATTATGAAGATGACATCTTGGTGACTGAAAGTGAGGAAGGCTTGAAACAGTGCAGATTGCATCTCAACACCAAGAAGACAAAAATTCTCATCAATAGACCAACAGGCACATCATGATAGATGGAGAAAGGGTTGAAATTCCCAATCATTTCATCCTACTTGGATCCAAAATCAACACCCACAGTACCAGCAGTTAGGAAATCAGGAAACATACCACATTGGGCACGCTTGCTGTGAGGGATCTCCCCAAATTAATGGGGAACAATGATGTCACTTTAAAGACTAAGGTCCACCTGATTCAGTCTATGGTCTTTTCAAACACTTGCTAGATATATTCAATCATATATCTAAGAGGTGGATAATGAATAAGGATGACAGGAAAGAAGTGATGCCTTCTAACTGTAGTGTTGAAGAACACTGAATATCCCATGGACTGTAAAAAATCACAACCCAGATATGTCTTGGAGAAAATGTGGCCAGAGTTCTCCCATCCCATAGGCAGGAATGGTGAAACGTCATCTCACATATTTTGGATATGATGCTAACAAAGGTTATTCTCTGGAAAGGGATATATCGTGCTTGGAAACGTAGTCTAGGTGCATCAGAGGGAGATCTCAATGAGATTGACTGACACAGTGACTGCAGCAATGGGCTTAGGTATATTACAAATGATGAGGATGGCACAGGATAGGACAGGGTTCAGATCTGTTGTTTACAAGGTCACTATGAGTCATACTTGACTCAATAGCACCCAACAACAGCAACTTATTTGAAGCAAAAAAGTAAAAAGGAAAACAAGTGATGTATCTGAGTGATGTATCTCAGTCACAAAAGGACAAATAATGCATGATGTCACTGTTGTAAAACAGGACTGACCTCGGGGTTGGGGGAGACTGAGAAAGATGCATTTAATAATGTATACTGTATTGAAACAGATGAGGGAGAAAACTGTTTAAAACAGATATGTGATTAGGTATTTTTGTCATGACAGGAGTCCAGAGCAAAGGCTACATAGTAGAGTGGACCTGGGGGGAGGGATTGTAAAACAATGAAGGAATTTTTCTTTTACTTTTCCAAGAGGGTAGTGTATTGGGGGGAGGATTGGGAGGGGCGAAAAGTGCAACAATGAATGAATGGAAATCCAAAGTCTCTGTAAATTTTCACTGAAATTAATAATACATTTTAAAAAAACAAAACAAAAACAACAACAATAAAAAAGAATTTGAAAAAAAACCACAAAGCTGAACAAAGAAACTTCATTTGGTCCAACTATCCCACTGCTTGGAATATGCCTCAAGAAAACGAGAACTGAGACATAAATGGAGATTTGTACACCACTGTTCATAGCAGCATTACTTACCATCTCAAGAACATGGAAACAGCCCAGACGTCCAGCCACAATCCAATGGACTGAGAAATTGTAGTACATTCACACAGTGGAATATAGCACTCAGGAGCAACAATTCTGAAAATTACTTATAACTTGGGAGGGACTGGTAAGCATTATGCTGAGTGAACAAACTCGGTTTTCTAAAGACAAATACCATATAAGACCATTGTTGTAGAAATAGAATGATAACTACCAAAACATCTATGAGGATCTACAGGGGGCATGGTAGGAGCAGAAGGGTAAGGGTGGGCAGGGGTGTATCACAGGACCACACAGTTTTATTCATGGAGGGAGTGGTACATGAAGGAAATTAGAAAGATCTGGCAGGGCTCAGGAAAGAAAGGGTAATTGTGGGCATAGTTCAGTGTTGATTAATTTTATAAAATATAACAACTGGAAATGATTGTATGACACAATATTAACTAAGAATAGTATAAAACAATGTATATTAACTTTGTAAGCAAAACAATATAAAATAAAAATTTATTTAAAAAAATGAAAAAAAAAAAAAATCTCAAAGAATGAACTCGTCTACAGGACAAAGAGGATACATGAACTATAGCCTCACCTACCAGAAAGCCAGAATGGTGTCTGGCTACACTGCTGATATTGCTAGCCAGGCCCACAAAAGAGAGACCTGAGAAATTGGAAGGAAAATGCAGAAGAGAAACTCAAATTTCTAAAAGTACAAACCCAAAATATCAGATGTAATGAACTGGTTGAGAGTGGAGAATTATCCAAGACATGAGTTCACCATACAGCTAAATAACAAGATTGGCTCAAAAGATAAAAATCACAGTATGTACTATGCCCCCCTTTTGGAAAAAAACCCCACAACATCACAACAACAAACCACACCTATATGAGATCAAACAGTCAAAAACTACTTCAAAATAAAAATGAGAGTGTAAAGGGCAGTCAAACTAGATTAGCAGTATGGAACAACCAGAATGAAAATACTGAGAATGTTCACATATTGTAAAGAATGTTACAAATGTCATGGAACAACTTCTGTAGAAATTGTTGAATGGGAATCTAAATTACTGTGTAATCCTTCACTGAAAAATATAATAAAATATTATGTAAAATTACCTCTGGAAATCCTATGAAGCTGGAGAAAGGATGAAAGTTATATGTTTCCAGGTCTTTCATTCATAGAGGGTCACTATGAGTCGCCTACAACTCGAAGGCACTTAACAACAATATACATATACAAGAAGTCCATGGATAATGAGCAAGACTTGTTCCTAAGCATGTCTTGAAGAATTTGTAGATCAGTATGAACATTATATATAGTTCTTCTTAGCTTTCTTTATTTTAGTGTAAGAAAAATGGTGTGGTGGTGCTGTGGTTAAGGTATTCTGTTGGAAACCAAAAAGTCAGTGCAGAGAAAACCAGAAACAGCTTTGTGGACACAGATGAGACAGTGTTTCACAAAAGGACAGGTGGGAGGGCACCTTTACTTGGTCATGCAGGATTGTTATCATTGGTCAGTGGGCTTCAGTTTTTGTGGGGGAGTTTAGTCCAAGATAACAGCAAAAAAATTTCAATGATCTAAAAGCTCCATGTGTTGCACAATGAATAAGCAAGACCAAAGAAGGGGAAAACAATTTCAAATAATATAAAAACTGCATGTGCAGTAAGTGAATCTGATGAACATGAAGAATTTGTTCCAAGAAGCAGGTGATTCAATCATTTCAGAATGAGCGTGAATTTACGTGACTAACACAGGGCTAAGACTGCCCTTCTTTGAAGGGTACATTCACAGTCTTGTACAGAAAATGAAAGATAAAACACTCCACAAGAGATATGACGAGAAGATGCAAAAGAGATCTAGTAAAAAACATGTCAAATGAAGGAACATCTTTCCATTTTCTAAATAATGTTAAAGCATGTCACACTTCCATGACTGTAAAAAGAAAATAAACATCATTAAACATACACACACAGTCCTCCTTACTTTTCTTTCTTTTTCCTTCCCATGAAAGAGCTCACCTGGTCAGCATCCACAAACAGGAATTTGTCAACAACGAGTGGAAAGAGGACGTCCAGGAAGAGGATCTTATAACCCCAGATGATGCGCTGCTTCTCTGTCTGCTGATGAAGCCATCGAGGCCACTTGTACTGAACAAGTTCATACTGGAAATTATATTCAATTGCCATGTAAGGTATAAATTCCTATTTGTAGACACAGGGAATAATAAAGAATTCATTAATTCAATTAAGAAATTGACTTTAAAAAAAAAAGAAATTGACTTCATAAATTAAAAGAAACACTACAATCAGGGCAGAAGTAAAACATATCCCTAACTCACTTGTGACTATGTAAAAAGGAAGAAAAAAACCCAACCTTTTAAAGACTTTCTGCACAAGAAATGGCAAACATAATTAAGTGATGGCTTTTAGAAAACAAATTTATATCTATTTGAGTATCCAAGGTGAAATGAACTTTTATCCTATTTGTTGAAATTTCCTTTTTAAAAAAATGATTATAAGCCTCTCTAAGAGTTTTCCAACTAACAACAAAAATGGGAAAATTCAACTACAGGCAGTCCTGGGCTATAAATGTGGACTATGCACAACTTAAATCTCTATCAAACCTATTGTATTAAAAATTTGAAGTATATACAATCATCAATATCAAGGGTGACTTTGTGACATGCATAAAAAAAATCATTACTACTTTATACTACAAAGTAACATGTTGTTGTTAATTGCCTGTTGGGTCTAGCACAACTCATAGTGACTCTAAGAACAAAAAGTCTGAAGCCTTTCTAGAATTACAGTCATTTTTCAAAGTTCATAGAGTTTCCAGAGGCATGTTATTTAGGAAGTGGATGCCACTCCTGCTTCCAAACTTATATTTAAACTGGGAGCTCCACTGAACACTGTCTAACATGGGTAACCATATGGCATGACACCCCTATCGCACAAGGTTCAGATTCAAAGCAGGAGCCGGTTATCTCCACCACTGAAGGATGCTAACAAGAGGCTGAGATGATGGGTGATTAGGTCACCAGGGCAGGGGATGCATGGGTGGGGCACCAGATTGGTTTGGAACTGCACATCCATACTGAGGGCACCATCAAGACACATGGAGGCAGTGATGAAGACACAATCTGACTGATGAGTTGGTTGAGACTGACGCAGGTAGGGCACTCAGTGTCCAGGTTGCAGTAACAGATATCTTATATGGTCTTGTTTTCCACCATGAAGGCACAGTCTGAGTGTTCCAGGGTGGTGTGAGTGGTTAAAATAGAGTTATAAAGTAACATAAGTAATTATATTATGTTAAAGTACTGTATTACCATGTTAAAAATGCTTTTAGTATATATTGAGCATTTTACTTAATATTTTTTATGCACATAAAGATACCGAAACCCAAATAAACCGCTGTTAACATGATTCAGACTCAAAACCACCCTGTAAAATAGAGTAGCACTGACCAATTGGTTTCTAAGGCTGTAAGCACATACATAAGCAGAGAGCTTTATTCTGTGTGTGCAGAGTGGCTGACAGATTAAAAATATTGACTGTTCAGTTAACAGTCCAACACTTTAATCCAATACAACACCAAGACATTAAGACAAACATTAATTAACTGATGTTAGGTATGAACCACACTTAAGTTTTCTGAGTAGAGATTCAATATAAAGACAGATTAGGCATACAATTCGTGTAACCCCTGGAGAATGCTAGCATTTTGGACAAGTAATCCTCATTAAAGAAGAAATCTTTCAGATGCTAAATATGTATGTACACACTCAGCATTCTCTACGTACAGATACAGATTGTACTGGCAGATACAATCAATTACGGTTAAAAAATATTCAGAATAAAAATGGACAAATTAAGTACTTAAAGGCAAAGGGGAATCAGAAAATGTTACTTATATAAAATTTATATGCTATTAGATAGTTTAAGAGGTGATTAAGTATGTAAGAAAATGTAGGATGTAGAGATATATTACACCATTTTATATAGAGATATTGAGTATTTACAGATTTGAGTATAAGGGATCCCACAGATTCTATTCTGAGGGATAATAGTTCAATGGACAACTGTACTTTCATAGGCCTATGCTATTCTGTTGTTCTACAACAAAAACCCAATAAACCACGAAGCACATACAGGAGATAACCCTGGAGTCTCAAGCATCAAATTATAGGAAAAAGAATTAGATTAAAACCTAAATGAAAAAAGAAACTTAAAAGTTGTGACAAGGGGAGATAGAAAATATAGGTGCCTTGCACTGGATGGACCAAAGAATAGATCTGAATGATGACAAGACTGTACAAAGCCTAAGCATTCCATGTGGCACCATCAATAAGAACAACTTATATTTGCATAGAAATGTAGAAGAGGAAGAGACTCACAAAAAAAAGTAATAAAATAAAAATGAAGCACCACAGACATCTCTTTCTAAGCAAAAATAGCAATGTTCAATATGACAGCAAACAACAAATGTTGGCTAGGGTGTAGAGAGATTGGAAGTCACATAGAAAACTGGTGGAGATGTGAAATAGGATGACAGTGTGGGACTACCTTAGAAAGTTGGGAACAAAATTATCATTGGATGCAGCAATCACACTAAAGATGAGCTGTGACACAAACTGGCACAAACACCCTTGTTTATTGCAGCAACAGTTACACTAGTAAGAGCCAGAAACAATCCAAGTGTCCATCAATGGAGGAATGATTTAAGAAACTATGCTCGGCTCCACGGTCAACACTCTTGACACCAGTAGCCAGGAAATAAAAAAATGTATTGTGATGGGAAAGTCTGCAGTTAGGGACCTCTCTAAAGTACTCAAGAGCAATGGTGTCTCTCTGGAGACTAAGGTGCGCCTGATATAGGCCATGGTTTTTGCAATCATTTGTTATGCATCAGAGAGTTGGACAATGACTAGGGAGGATAGAAGGAGAATTGACGCCTTTGAGCTGTGGTGCTGGAGAAGAGTATTGAATGTACCATGGACTGCCAAGAAAACAAACAGATTCATGCTAGAGAGGGTTAAACCAGGCTACTCCTTGGAGGCAAGGATTCTGGGGCTTCGTCTGACATACTTTGGACATGTTGTAAGGAGAGACAGGTCTTTAGAGAGGGACATCATGCTGGGTAGAGTGGAGGGACAGTGCAGGAGGGGAAGACCCTCTCTGAGGTGGATTGATTCAGTGACTGGGGTAATCGGGATGGGTGTGTCAGAGGCAATGAGATTGGCACAGGATAGAGCACGGTTTAGGGCTGTTGTACATAGGGTTGCTATGAGTCGCAAACGACTCGACGGCACATAACAACAACAAAACAACAATTGAACATTCACACAATGGAGTTATCATGTATCAGTTAAAAAAAAAATCAAGAATTCGTGAAATACTGCATATCATGGATGAGTCTGTAATTCCAGGTGACATAATTTAGTAAAAAGAAGAGGGGAAGATATTATGGTATAAGACCACTAATATAAAAAGGTAAAGAAAGGTTTAAACACAGAACTAATCTTAGAGGATAATAGAGATGAGGAGAGAAAGAGAAGTAAAAATAAACAGATCAGATGTGGAAAGAAAAAGGAAAGCTAAAAAAAGTTTGATGAGACATTATTATAAATTACTTAATCAATTCTAACTTGTAAAATAAATGTTCAGATGAAAAATTAATATGATTTGTAAACATTTACGTAAATAAAAACAAAACAAAACAGATCTAGGGGTTTAAAATTAAAGAAGTTAAGAATAAATTTCAGGATAGCCACCAAGAAAATGATGTAGCCCTCTTAACAAAGAGTGCCAGCCAGAAAAGTGGATAAGAAGCGACAGTGCACTCAAAGGTACACAGCTGGAACAAACTCCTGAAATTTTTGGTGTCAACAAATTCTTTTTGTTAGAGTGATTCTGTGTATTCCTTTCTTCTTCCTTTTATGCTTTCAGGATCATTCAAGATTTTGCCCATAGCATCTCTCATTATTGCAACTCAAGGCTTAAATTTGTTTTCTTGTTCTTTCAGTTTGAGAAATGCCAAGTGCGTTGTTCATTTTATAGTCTCCAACTCCAGTTTTGTGTGTACGTTCTGTTATAATATTTTGCTCTGTCTTCTCAAAGTGCCCTTTGAAATCTTCTGTTCAGCTCTTTTACTTTGGTATTTTATCCGTTAGTTTTGGCTTATTGATGCCCTAGTGCGATTTTCAGAGTTTTTTTCCTAATACTATTTGATCTTTCTCTCTTCTCTTTCTTCTCAATATTTTGCTCTCTTCATGGATGATAACTTTGATTTTATCCATAACTCATCTGATCATTAGTTGCCTAAAACCTACTCTGGAGATGATACTATAATTCAGGTGTGATAGACTAACGGTCCTATTTTTTTGTTCCTGTGGGTTTGCTTTAATTTTCTTCAGCTTGAATTTGAACTTGTACATGGTAATTGATGGTCCGGTCCACAGTCAGTACCTGGTCTGGTTTTGACTGCTGATTTTCAGCATCTCTAAGGATTCTTTTCACAGATGTTGTCAATCTGATTTCTATATAGTCCATCAGGGGAGGTCCATGTGTAAAAACACCTTTTGTGATTAGGGAAAAAAGGTATTAGTGATGAATAAATCACCGAATGCACAAAGTTAAAGTTGAAGCCATGAGAGTGGGTTGCTTTTCTAACAGATCCCTAAAATGTGGATAAGACTTGAGAACTAAATGAGTAGAGTCCAAAAGTTTTAGACTATAATAAAAGCCAAAACTGCCTTTAAAAGACTGTTTTTGGAATTAAAACAGTTATGGTGAAGGCTCAGAAGGAAAGGAGAATTTTCACAAAGATGGCACAGACAATAAGAAGCTACAATAGGACCAGGACACTGTAGAGGTGGAGATCACATGGAAGTCAACTTGGAGAGAAAAAGAAGAGCTAAATGCAACTCAGCACCTGTGTGGAGCTCACTTGTGAGCCCATGGAGCTAGACAGCTGGACAACTGAAGGATGAAGCTTCCTAACACAGCAGGATGCAATGGAACACTGACTAGTAAAGTTAAATATTTGCTGAAGCAGAATAGATGCTAAGTTGGTCTATGAGAGACCAAGGAGTATGCAAAGCAGAACAGTCTTGCCCTCAAAGGGTAAGACTACAATCTGGAGGACTACAAAATGTGAGACCATGATTTCTGGGGTTTCTACAAATGAAGCCAGAGTT